GAGCTTCAAACGTTGGGTGTATATGCAGCAACCCGCACAGCTGACGATTCCCGATCAAGCCTATTCCGTACATTCCTTCCGGTAGAACCACCACCAACTAAGCAACAATCCATCAAGCCACTTACGATTCCCTCCTTCTTAACCCCGTCGGTCGGGCGGCTCCTTCAAACCAACTTCACGCACCACGACGCGATACTCAAACTCGCCGATTCCTTCAGTAGTATGAGTATGACTCTGCCCGTCAATCCGGAAATTAGTCTTATCTCCAGGAAGACCACGACCTGCAATCTCACGACACTGTTTGTACTGTACATGCGGCGTTGTCGATTCCCTTCCTCCTCCCCCTCAGAAACACTCATATGCAAAGAGTACGGTATCCAGGATTGAAAACCAAATTAGGTACGGAGTAGTCCAGCAACTATCCAGAAATCCCAGACACCACACAACCATAGTGGGGCCTAGTTAGTAGCCATGGATGAAGCGAAAAAAAAAGGGGGGGCCCTACGTATCTAGATAAGTCTAGATTTCGACGGAGTACACCCGAAAGGAAAATTCCATTCCTTCCATCAATCCACCCAGACAAGACTCATTCTAACCCAGTGTTCAAACGAGGGTTCTTATGCCGATGAGTGTGGCATCGATCGACCTAAGGAACAGGTAACTTCCTGTGCTCTACACAATGTACTGTACATTCAATCCCTAAAACGTGGCGGTAGCGGTTCAGACTACCGAGTTCCTAGTGACGTTTTAGACTACGTCGTTCTGTATGCACAGTAACTACTGTACACTATGTCTACCTAGCACGTAGTCAGACAGCGCGACGCAACCAAAGATAGGACTAAATACCTAACATACCGTGAGGCGTGAGGTGAGGTAAATAATTAACTAGGTTAATTTATCACCCGATTCGTCATCGGCGCAGGCATCCGACAGAAACACGCACGGGCCATGTTAACCATCGCCGCAGCCCTGAGGAGCAAGTCCGGTAGCTTACCTAGTAACCAATTGCAGAACACGGAGATGAGGGAGGATCTTTGCTGGTGACGAACAAGAACTCACTCAGACACTACCAGTAGGTACTAACTTATACCTCGCCTGTGGTCAGAATAAGCGGCTGAGAACCGGGGACGGTGAAGCGCCTGCCTGGCCCGAGGATACGCACGGTATTTTGTTGGTTGTTCTCCCGCGTAAGTTGCGATGCGAACAGGTCCAACAAGTCCAAGTCCAAGTCCACACAGTGAAACCGCCCGACCTGCACGCTGTCCTTGATTTCTCCCGTGCATGCGGCCCTTGGGGATCGGCATTCTTTGCCGAGTACGGAGGCGGGCGATGAAATCTGGACTCCAGCTCGCGTCGCGGGAACTCGTTTGATGAGTCTGACAGCGATGCAGTATGGCGGTGTGGGCGGGGATCCACTGTCGATCCTGAAGACGTTTGGTTTGTCCCGTAGGATTGGAGGCTGTTTTGCTCAATGTTCCCTGTTGTGGTTCCAACTTCGTTTCAGCAGGATCACCATCGATGATCCATCGCTTGTCGTGATCGGTTGGAAGGAATTCTCATCAAAGTACTTCGTATCATCAAAGAACAAAATGCCATGAAGTGCAAGGTGCATCACTTCCCGCCGGTGCCCATTATGGGCAGCCGGCAATGATGCAGTAAGTGGTCCAGATCAATTCGAAGCTATATGATCGCTGCAGGCATAACTATGCTAGATATGAAAATAAGTTACCCAAGCTTAGGCCTATCCTTACACCAACCATGGAGCGTGGACTGGGGTCTCCTGATAACGATTCCGTGCGGGGGTCCCGCCCACCAATACAGGAGTGCCAAATCACAACGAACGCCGGGGTCGCTTGTCCTCCACCTGACACCATAAAAATCGCTGCAAAACGCCGGAAAATGCTGAGTCGTGTAGATAATCATGAGCTGTCTTCGAGGACATGGCCATTGGCGGCATCTTTGCGCTGCCTCAGTGTATCAATGGCTTTGCCAACTTCGTCTTTGGCCACCCCTTCCAGAGAGGCTCGGGCATCAGGCTCGAGGATTTCGATATCACCCACCCGCTCGTAGAGCATCCGGGAGATACTCCGGTTAATGTCTGTGTATTCATCTTTGGAAACAAGCTTCGAGCGATAGTAGGGTTTCAGTTCGGAAACCACAAGCCTTTGAACGGCCGACTTGACCGCGGCAGACGGCCCTGACGGCCCCGAGCGGGAAGGGGAAACATGGAGCGATCGCAGGGCTGCTGAGCGAGCTGCAGCCCGGGGGATGCGACGATTCCAGCGAGGAGGAGGGGTATGACGGGGGGGCTGATCTTCATGGCGATCTTTGTCCGAGGCAATTGGAGAGACGTCCGGGGAGAACGGTGGGGAGGAAGGGTCTGCAGGCGACCCGAGTTGTAAAGGCGATATCGGTCGGTTTCTGCCATGTGGGGGCGGCGTTGTAGAAGACATCCGGGGAGAGGAGTGGTTAGAGGGAGCAGGCGAAATGGAAGGGGAGGTTAGACCGGGCGTGAAGTGATCGGTCGGGGCTAAGGAAGAATGGGCTGATGGACCGTGTGAATTGACGCCATTGTGAGTAGAAGATGACTCCACCTCTTTGAGAAGCGATTGTAGGAAGCTCGGCTCGCTCGAAGGTTCGGCATTGATCCGAGCAGTGGCCTGTGCACTTGCAGCCCGCGATGACTCCCCGTTCTGCATAGCGAGAGCGGCCAAATCTTCGGCCCTCCGAGTCCGGGGTCGTTTGAGCTTGCGTGCAGGCTCAGTAGGCTCCGGGGATGGGGACATCGTAGGCTCTTTACGTTTTCGTGCTGCACTCGGATCGTTCTCGATTTCTCGGGCACGCTCGAATGCATTCCAGGCTCTCATTTCCTCAAGCGACTCTGGCTCAGGGGTGGGCTCGCGAGGTACGCGGGGCCGTGACGGCCGAGGGGCCTCGATATCGAGCAAGGCCGCAGTATCCCGAAAGCGGTTGCTGCCACCCTGTCGTTCAGCAACTTCAAAACGACGCTGCCATGCGCGAAACTCACGCTGATTGGCTTCTTCCCGTCGTTGCTGCTGACGAGCGCGCTCCAACGCCCTGTCATCATCGAAAGGGAAATCCAAGTCAATGTTCAAGTGATCCCAAACAGACTGCCACACCCTTGCCCAATGTAGGGAATTTAGCTGATTTCTGCTCTGTAGCATTCGTTGCTGTGCTCTAGTACGACGATTCCGTCGGTCCTGCGGTCGGGAACCCCTGTCAGTCGTCTCCGGGGAGCGTCCGAGACGACGTTGATTTTCACACCGTGCACAATACCAGGGCCCATTTGGCACCTCGTCGAGACCGACACAGTAGGTATGTGAGGGTGCATCACAGCCATCACAAAGCAGAAGCAAGTCTTCGTTGTCCGCATCGCCGCAGACTGGACAAGGCTGGAAGTCGATGAAGTCATCGTCAATATAGTCGATAACCATCGAAGGATCGACCTCGGCAACTTGGGTTCGATCCTCCACGGCATATGACGAAATCACAGGACCTGTAATATGAGAATCGATATGTTAGCCAGGGGAAACACCCACAAGGTATAGAACGGTATCCAGAGGCTTCAATGGTGGTTTGGAGGGGGTGATAAGGACTTACCGCCGGGGCGATCACTTAGTTCAACTACATTGAAACTCCGCCGGCAGATGGGACAGCTGTTGGCCCGTTCTACCCATGGTTTAAGGCAGTTGTTGTGCAAAATGTGACCACAAGGTAGCAACTGGGCGATTTGACCGGGATCCTCATTGCCATCTACACCATCGACCTTGCTGGCAACGTTCGCCGACTTGGTCTCTGGCTCGAGGTCAAGTCTTGGCGCGGCCTCGGCGGCGACGGCAAGAGGATCGCTGGCGCTTTCGCCAAGGTCTCCTAAGCACACAATACAAGTGTCGGACATTAACAGAAGGGGAGATTTCAGATGTGTCTGCAGGAACGCTGAGAGAAGGCATGAAGAGAACTTGGAGGAAAGAAAATAGGAAAGTTTTTGGGATGTAGAAAGAGAAGGGAGGGGGGGAGGGAGAAGGTCAGGTCGAGTGATGTGGGGAGAAAGCAACCGGCCTTTTGAAGGTGGACCGCCAATCCGATCTAACGCAAAGCAGGCTGGAGCCCAACGTGACCATCACCCCAAGAGCCAATCGTTCCCTCCAGAAAACGGCAAAAGCAGGCTTAGTCAGTCGTTGGGATGATGGCTTCAAGAAATGCCCTGGCCCTTGCAGCACCAGCAGGAGCACCAGCAGGCGCACTAGCAGGAAAGCAGTCACAGTAAGCAAAGCAGCTGAAACTGATTCACACAGACCACGTTTCCCCCTTCCCCTCAACCCATTTGTTCTGCTGTGAATTCAACTCTATCCACCGATAAAGTGTAGACCGCCTCTCCTTGCCCCTGGGATGGACTTAAAAGATAGCGATCTTATCGCACCGCGTAAGTGGTTTAATGAAAGTAGCATTTCTGGGGACCGCATTTCCTGGTAATTTGTCCCACGCATAGAAAATCTACGAGAAGTGTATGCAGATGATGCAAATACTGGTCGCCGACCAGGTTAGGGGATGATGATCAGGCAAGGAGATCAAACCACCCACAAGAACCGCAACCCTCTGCAATGTGAACGGCGTGTGTCGTGTCGAGAATCGAAGTCACTATCGACGGGATTTCGCCGAACGAGGCATGCTCTTAATAGTTTGATGTCCCTCACATGCGGGGCGGCCACGAGAAGGAAGGATCACAAGTTCTCAACCCCATGAACCGAGAGAAACCAGAGGTCATACGAAGACATCGCAGAGCGTTGGCATGGTTCGAGAGGGTGTGACTCGAGGACTAAGATTGGTACCGCAAATGACCTGGTATCACCGATTGCATTTTAAGTCTAGAAGGGGAAGTCTTAAATCGAGGACGAGTTCGGTGCTAAACAACATCGGGGTAACGACGTTCGGAAACGAGAAGAGCGCTCATAGAAGTTTTCCAGATCTTAATTTGGCATTTTTTTATTTCAAACGTAAAGAAAAGGAAATCCCATCATCACATTTAGACCTCCGCAATTTCTCTGAGACGGCGGATGGTGGAGCGGGTGGCAGCGGCGGCGGGGGTACTGTGTGACAAAACAGTCCAGCGATCAGCAATCGTGTCACTTCTTGGAGCCTGCGAGGGGCCCATTCTGGCTGGTTCGGAGGCAGGTCGACAGGTCGACAGATAGAGATGGCGAGACTTACGAGACGGTGTAGGCACCACCGGCAACGGTCTTCTTGCAGCCCTTGCACTCCCAGATACCAACAGCCTGGCGCTTGACGGTGTTCTTTCCGCAGAAGGTGCAGATGTAACGGGCGTGCTGGGACACTTCCATCTTCTTCACCTGCTTACGCAGGGAGGCACCGTATCTATTATCATGCCATCGTCAATATTCCATCGTGTCACGGGGGGGGTGAAGGATTTCGATGTGTCGGTTGCTCGATAATCATCGTTCGTGTTGTTGTCGCGATCGAGGCTTTTCGAATTTTTTCTGAGGGGTTCGGAGTGGGAGGACGCGAATGCCTACCTGGTACCATATTTACCGGTGATGCCGACCTCTGCAATGTTCAGTCAGTAATTAATTCAGAAGGCCGATTTCGCAGTCGTCTCGCGCAGAGATTCGAGGGTATACACATACTCTTAGTGCGCTTCGTCATCTTGGCTGGATCCGGCTGTTGAGGTCGAAGATGGATACAGTGCGGTAAGTCGAAATCGAGACGTGAGTCTTTCTAGTCGGGAGTGGTTGTGGGCGGGCTCGCTTAGGGCTGCACCTAGAGTCACGTGAGCCGCATCATACTTGGACTGCCTCTGGGATGGCATAGATCCGAGTAGTCAAGTTATGAGGCAGTGAGGGTCATCGAGCTCTACATTCACTACATTTCTTAAGTCTTTCTCTTCTATTTGACCTTTTTTTTTCTTCCTCTTGATGCCTCTCCTGGCCGCGTTACTGTGCGCGCATATTCTGAAGAGTCGTGATGACATAATAAATCCACGGTTCGGGCTTATGTAATTCGCCCTGCATAACTCGCCATCAAGGTGATCAAGGTGCTGACACTTCGCTTACGAGTATTGTGCACCCATGCTATTGCGTTAGGAAAGTGAAGACTACTTATGCAGTGCTTATAGTACCTACTTTAATACACTCTACCGGCTTCTGTAGAGCAAAGTTCAGTTCCCAAATTGAGGGGCATGTAAGTGTCTGATCACATGCATGGGGCAGACTGATCTATGGTATGTCTGGATCCGGTTAGTGCGGTCTAGTACTCGTGCTACCACCGATCTGGCCGGAACAGAACAACCTCAGGCCAGCCATCCCTAGTTGTATAAACTCCGCTCCATGCGCGCATCAGGGTGCAGCAACAGCAATTCCTCCGAACAACTAAATCACTGCCTCCCGCTGCGTACTTCGGTCTACGAACCGTCACTTCAAAACCTAAGTATTATCAAGAGTAGCAATCCACCCCGCCGAGATGGAGTCTCAGAGAGAGTACGACATCATTCTCCTCGGCCCCACTGGTTACACAGGACGCTTCTGTGCCCACCATATCGTCAAGCATCTGCCGACCAACCTGAGATGGGCAGTGGGAGGACGCTCTCAGTCCAAGCTTGAGCAGGCCGTCAAAGACTTGACGGCTCTGAATCCTGATCGCAAAGATCCTGGTACTGTACCGCGGCTACACGCATACTCTCCACATATTAATGGACAGTAGATATCATTACTGTGCAGCTCAATAAAGAAGAACTCGACCCGCTGGTACGCAGAACGAAGGTCATCATCAACTGCGTGGGTCCATACTGTTTGTACTCGACGCCGGTGGTCGAAGCCTGCGCCAGCAATGGAACACACTATGTCGATGCGTCGGTTACTCTCTGTCCACCGTTTGGCTTCCCTCTACTGATTGCGCACCCCGTAGAACCGGAGAAACCCCCTGGGTGAAGACCATTGTCGAGAAATACCATGAAAGCGCCAAGTCGAACGGCGCCGTTGTACGTGCTGCTCGCGTCTTGTTTGCATAACACCACTCTAACCACCCCTCTCAACAACTACAGATCATCCCCTCCGTCGGAATCGAAAGCGCCCCAGCAGACATGTTAGCCTGGGCTCTCGTCAAACGCATCCGCGAAGACCTCGCCTGCGACACCAAGGAAGTCGTCTCCGCCATCCACGAGATGAAGTACGTATGCCACGCAGCCCTCGAGGCACTACACGACTTTCTAAACTAACCCCTGACCACCAGATCCTCCGGCGCAAGCGGCGGCACCCTCAGCACAATCCTCACCGTCTTCGACACCCTCTCCTTCTCCGACATCGCCAAATCCACCGACCCCTTCGCGCTGGCCGCGTCGCCGCCCCCGGCCAACGTCCCCCGCGAGCCCCTCCTCGCCCAGCTCTCCGGCGTCCGGTACGTGCGCGACCTGGGGGCGCTGACGACCTCGCCGTCCGGGCTCGCGGACGTCAACGTCGTGCACCGCAGCAGCTCGCTGATGCCGGAGTTCTACGGGCCGCGCTTCCACTTCCGCCAGTTCCTGCGCGTGCGGAACGCGCTCGTCGGGGTGTTTGTCCACTATGCGTTTCTGGCCGTGATCTCGCTGCTGATCTTCGCGCCGGTCCGCGCCCTGGTCCGGCGGTACGTCTACCAGCCCGGCGCGGGCCCCACGGCCGAGGCGTCGGCGAACGACCAGCTCGAGTACCGGGCGGTTGCGACGGCGGATCAACCGGTGGCGCCGAAGCGTGCGTTTGGCAAGTTGCGGTACCAGGGGGGCTGTTATGAGTTCACGGGGTTGAGTATGGCGGAGGCGGCGATGGTGATTCTGGAGAATGAGGAGAAGGTCAAGCGGGTCTCGCGGGGTGGGATTGTGACGACGGCGGTGCTGGGACAGGAGTTGCTGGATCGGTGGGAGAAGGTCGGGTGTCGGGTTGAGACGCAGGTGTTTGAGCATTAGCTTCGTTTTCGTTACAAGATCTTTTTCTCTTATTGTACGATCATAGTTGTTGTATCTGTATGTTTTGGTAATTCTTTGTGAATTGTATGACGCAGTCACTTGAAACGGCAATCCAACCCAACCAGTAAGTATGAAGCAACCCAGGGAATCAATCCAGCAATTCCCACCCACAAAGACGTAACCCACAAATAAAGCAATACAAAAGCCCCCCTTCGGTAGGAAACAGCCAAACTCTCACAACCTCGACAACCCCGCCCTCCCAAAGACAACCTCCTCCAACCACCACGCAATAATCTCATTGACCTCCTCGGGCTTCTGCCACAGCGCCCAATGGCCCGTGTTCACCTGCTTGTAGGTCAAATGCGGGATGGTCCTGGTCATGCCGCCGCCGAGATTAGGCGGCAGGGCGGGGTCCTTGAGGGCCTGGATGAAGAGCAAGGGGGCGGTGATGCGGCGGTTGAGGATGGCCAGTTCATCCTCGTAATTGATCTTGCGGGTGCGATACCAGTTTACTATTCGCCCCGCGAATTAGCATAGACCTCCCACAGCCCAGCCCAGCCCAGCCCAGCCCAGCCCCCTGGCCACACACTCATCCAGGAACAAGAGGTTAAGTTAAGGGGACAAACATACAAGGTCCTCGCAGCCCATTCCTCGCAAACTCGGCAGCGTAGTACTCCAATTCCTGTACAGCAACACAACACCAACAAGCGTTAGCTTCACCACCATCCTCCCAAAAAGAAAGGCAAAACATACAACCTCACTCAACAGCCCCGACCCGGCCACCTTCTCCAGCCGATCCCACAGCACCCCGACCTCGGCGTCGAACGCGACGCTCCTCTCCTCGTCCGCCGTGCGCCCGCCGTACAGCGCCGACAGGAACCGCGCGATCTCCGCCGTCCCCTGCAGGTTCCGCTCCAGCGCCCGGCCCCGGAACTGCAGCTGGTAGCCGAAGTGCGGCGCGATGCGGCGCTCCGTCAGCGCCTCCAGCGACAGGTACTTGCGCGTGGGCGGGGCGTAGGGCACGCAGACGGTGAAGACGTGCGAGACGAGCGTCGGGTGCCACAGGGCGACGCGGTAGGCGAGGGCGGCGCCCCTTTGCTCCGTCACTCGCTGTTAGCTGATTGAAGGTGTTGAATGAGGGAGGTTGGGGGATGGGGTAACGGTACCAGTCATGTCCGCCGAGGATGATCTGGTGGGCGTCGAGGAGGGAGGCGAGTTCTTTGATGTCGTTGGCGCAGTTGCGGTGCGAGTAGAGATGGATGTTCTCGGGGGCGTCCTAGCTGCTGATTTAGCGATCGGGGTGCTTGGTGGTGGTTTTGGTGTGGTGAGTCCATACGGTTTGTCCGTAACCCAGACAATCCGGGGCTACTACTCTGAGCCCCAGGTTGATGAGCATGGGGATCTGGTAGCGCCATCCCATGGAGAGGTCGGGGAAGCCATGGAGCTGTTTTGGCCAGGTTGGTATACTTCAATTCGAGGCTTTTGTTTACACAGCGCAGGTGACACTCACCAGGAAAATGGTGGCGCGGTATACTCCCGACTCCGGCTCGCTGTACAAGTAGCCTGGCAATATATGTATGGATCAGCCTCGGTTGCGTCTGTCGCTCAACAACTTGATCAGTGCATGGGTGTTAAATGTCGCATATCGAAGCAATGGACCACCAAGCCGATCAAAATATGCATGATCTTCCCACATACTGTATGTGTTGCCATTGAGGTTGGCGGAGCGGCGCTCGACTCGCGGGTCGCCGGTGACGTCGATCTTGTCCACCGCCATTTTCTGGATACCACAAGTGAAAGGGTGGTTTTATGCTGCGAGTACAGAACTACTTCGGAAAGGACAGTCAAAAGACAATGGAATTAGCAGAGCGGAAAGGTTCCTGGGCAAAGAGAGGAGATTCTGCCATACCGACTTTCTGTTTAATCTAAGAATTGGTACTTGATGGAGACTCCCCGCCAGCTGTTCATCACGTGAAACTGAAGCTATATTTAATCCGCGAAGGCACCACGAGGCTGGGCCAGTGGAGTTGGGCATGCGAAGTGACGCTTCGCTCAGTCAGTCAGTCAGTCTTCCGAATAAGCCGATGGAATTAACGCAGCTATGAGAAAGAATGGCTCATGGAGACAGAAGAGAGGGAGGAGGGGTACATTCCCCAGTCCCCCATTGTTTGATCGTTCTGCCGAAAATGCCTCGGCTAATGCTCAGATGCAAGAGACAGCAGAATGCAGCTACAGTTACTACCATACATGCTCAGACGTACATCGTGCCTGCGTTCCAACTCCGCGCTTTGGCTTTGCGCAGTGTACAGAACGCTGCGGAGTTCTCAGAATATGACCATTATAGAGTACAGTTAGATAGGATCGAATCGCCCATAGCTTCAGTTGGTTCTTCAGTAGATTACAGTGTCCTCCTGGTCCTCGACCACCTCTCCGCCGTCATCGTCGTGTGCGCGATGCAGATCATCGTGGCCGTCAGCCACAGACACGACGCTATCATTTGCGGGTGTGGTGTCTTGTGGGGCCTGTTCTGCCTCCTCTTCGGATTTCGAGCCTGAGTTTTCTGCGCGTACAGCATTCTCCTCAGGTGCGATCTTGGACTCGTGCGCTTCTGGGTTTGGCACCGACGCCGGTCCCTGAGCATCATCCTGTGTGCTTTCCGGCTTCTGCTCGTCCTCGGCGCTGGTGTCCTGGTTCTGAGCTGCGTAGCGTGCCTCAAACTCAGCCCTCTCTCGGGCGACAGTTGCTTCCGCCTCGTGAATCTGTTCATCTATAGCATCTTCATCATCGGACCGCAACTGCCATGGTTTGTAGTACTTTTTCAGCACCAACAGTTAGCGTTACTTCTCATACAAGCCAACACCCCCATCACCCCTAGAAAACACAAGAGACAAGTGAAAGACATACCAAAACAGGCTCCGCCTTCGTCTTAAGATACCTCGCCGTAGCCAAAATATTCTCATGCCGAGTCCGCATCTGCACATGGTAACAAATTAGCATTTGGCACCGGAAACCACCCCGGAATCCCCAACACTGCGAAGCGATCCAGAATGACAAAAGAAAAGGGAGGGAATCTCACCGCTTCCTCCTCATAAGCCCTCTGATACTTCTTCCGTCTCTCCATCCTCTCCTCGCGCCGCTTCTTCTTCAACTCCCCATATTCCTCATCCTGTAACTTGAGCTTATCCTGCTGCCGCTTCTCGATATCCGCCCGCCGTCGCTGAGCCGCCGTGTTCGAGGAGCTCTGGGAGAGCGTGCCCAGCAGCGCGCCGAACAGCCGCTGGCCGCGTTTGCGCTCCTCGTCCTTGCGTCCGGCGGCCGGTCGGCGCGGTGGTGGTGGTGGTGCGCGCTTCGATTCCTCTGGAGATCTCTGGTCTTGGTCTGCTGTGGGTTCCGAGGGGACGACAGGCGGGTGGTCGTCGTTGTTTGTTTCTGCGGCCTGTTCTTGTTGTTGTTCTTGGTCTTGTGGCTGGGTGGCGGGGGCGGAGGTACTCAATCGGCGGCGTTTGCTGTCTGTTTCTGTGCCTGTGGCTGTTACATCGTCGCCCGCCTCTGTAGCGGAGGAGGACTGTCGCCGTTTGAGGCCCGCATTTGTCGTTGTGTGATCTGGGGAAGGGAGTCTGGGCTGGTGGTCTTCTGGATCGGGCAGAGCTACTGCCGATGCGAGAGTTCTATGTATTTGTCATAGCATCAGTAAGACAAGTCACATCCCTGAGAGCATGTGGCGTATAAATTTATAGAGAGGACTAGAACTGAGACATACCCTTCAGCCATATCCACACTCAGAGACTAACTGGACCGGGGGAGGGGAGGTTGTACGAAAGGGTTTCCAAGAAAATTGATAACACCAGAGATTAAGGTACATACACCTTGTAATGTAATCAGGGGAACAAGCAACGACAACGAGTGACGGAGGAAGAGAGATCGGACGGAAAATGACCCACGACCGAGAGAGAGAAAATGAAGAGTGTTTCTCAAACCAACTCCCAAACCGATAACTTTAGTTCAATAGCGATGCGATCGATAACTTCTGGCCAGCTGCTTCGGCGGCGGCGGCGCGGGACTGCTCCGTGCACGGACCACGCCTTACCCAATCGGGGTCTGCCGTTGGAGTTCCAATCCAGTTGCAGTGTCAGTGCTAGAGGAAGCGCGGCGATTCTTCTTCTTCTTCTTCACTTCCTTTCTCACCTGGACAACACACGCACCTCCGTCAGCTATTCACCCTTGCTTTGAAATCCTCTCCACTCACCCACGCCACCTATAACGTACAACACCTACATCTTCTTTGAGGCCCATCTCTCACCCCTTGCAACCTCAATCTCCTACACCCTCACCCTTACCCTCAACCACACCTATCACCACAACCCCTCTGACACCCTGACACCCTCAAAATGTCCCGCCACCACCCCGATCTCGTCATGTGCCGCAAGCAGCCCGGCATCTCCATCGGCCGCCTCTGCGACAAGTGCGACGGCAAGTGCCCCGTCTGCGACTCCTACGTGCGCCCGACCACCCTGGTCCGCATCTGCGACGAGTGCTCCTTCGGCAACTACCAGAACAAGTGCATCGTCTGCGGCGGCGAGGGGATCAGCGACGCCTTTTACTGCTTCGAGTGCACCCGCCTGGAGAAGGACCGCGACGGGTGCCCCAAGATCATCAATCTGGGCAGTTCGCGGACGGACCTGTTCTACCAGAAGAAAAGTTTTCGAAATCATTGACCCCCGTGCCAATCATCATCGCTTGCTTGGGGGAATGGGCATCCGGGATTTTGGTCCGATTTACGTGATGTGATGCTCGATTTTGCCTGCTCCGGAAGAAGCGCCTCGTCTTGGCTGTTACGAATGATTTAATAAGAGAAGACACACAGCTGGTGGAAGAACGCTCAGCTCTCTAAGTGCCGGGGTGAGGGGCTATATACTGTATCGATCTCATAGAGCAAAAAGCAAGAAAGATGTACAAGAAATCAGGGGAACCGTTGGGCCCACCTGGGGACTAATCATATTTACCGTCCGGGACGTCTCGGTCTCGCGAACCCGCGACTGGGTCCGGTGCTTTGTTGCGGGTGGACTTCTTCCTGCAGCCTCTCGCCGGAGATCTCGTCGGGAGAGGATGCCTCGATCTGCAAGTGCTAAATGTTAGCGGATGCCCATTTTTTCTATTGAAGGCCGTTGACTGACCTTCTTCGAGACCTTCAGTCCCTGCTCTTCAGCCAGCGCGAGCGCGTGCATGCGGGAACTAGCGTACAGCATGCGTTCTCGGATCGACGAACCCGACGGGCAGGTGTAAATGAAGACCACAGTGTCGGAGTCAGGGTAGTGATAGAAGGTGTACCGCGGCGAGGAGTCCGGGATGTGCGACTGGACGGCGTTGGCCTCGACGCCCGACTCAGCGACAGCCACCTTGAAAGCCTCCGACTTGACCTCGATGGCCTGTATTTAGTTTGTGAAGCAGATTCGTTAGCGAGACCTCCAATCCAGATGCAAGCAAGCATATCAAAAAAACCAGATCCTATCCTTCTTTTCCGCTGCTGGTGGCAACCCCAAGAACCCGATAATCACCCGCATCAAACCTACAGGATATAGGGGGAAACACATACCAACTGCACCAGCCCACCGGCCCGCAACCCCGCAAGAGCCGCCTTAACCTCATCGTCCACATGCATCTGGATGCGCATGCCCGACGCGCCTCCGCCCGTGCCCCCCGCGGCGAACAAACTGCCCCGCTGGAAGGTACCCCCGATGCCGATATCCCGGCCGGGGGTGCCGGACCGGGCCTCCTCCTCCGCGCGCCTCACGGCCTCCAACTCCCGCTCCTTGTCGCCCATCAGATCCTCCCGCCTCCACCCCAGTCCTTCATCCGCGGTGCCACCGGCATCCTTCCGGGCCCTCTCCGCCTCCCGCTCCCGCCACGCCGCCTCCCCGATCACCTCCTCCTCGTCCGTGGCGAAGACGGTCGCCGCGAACTTCTCCGTGCCGAGTTCGCGGGCGAGCGTGGCGCGCGTCGCCGCGAAGAGGGTCTTGTTGCGCACGCCCGCGTTGGAGGGGATGTAGGTCAGGGCGAGGAGTTCATGTTGCGAGTCGGTGGTGGGCCGGCGGAGGAGCAGGTAGATCGGGGTCTTGGGTTCCAGGACGGTGGTGAGTTGCGGGAGGGAGGCGTAGAAGCTGGAGGCATCCGAGGTCGAGGTCGAGGCGAAGGGCAGCGCGGGTAGCGGGGTCAGGCGCTCGGATTGGATGGTCACCGGGAGGCAGAATTGGGTGGCGTCGGTGGTGAAGCTTGTGAAGGCGGTTTGGAGTTCTTGGGAGACTTTTGGGACGTATCATTAGTTTCGGGGTGGTTCTGTTGGGGGACAGGCAGGAGGGGGTCACGGGTTTTTGATGGAAGGTGGCCGATGTCGTAATGTCAGGGGGAGAGAGGTCGGGAGGAGGAACAGGGAAATGTTGGTGGAGCTTGGAGACGGAGAAGAGTGTAGTTGAGATGGGAACGTACCTGAGATTCCGGACTGCATCTTGAAAGAGAGACACCAGGACTGGTGTGGGTGTTCTCTGATGCTGGAGGAGGTGGTGGTGGTTGTTGCTGGCAGTTGATGGGGAAGAGCGACGGATGTTTACTGCGGAGTGGACGGAGGGGGGCGGCGGCCAGGGCAGAAGCGGTGTGTGTGTCTGGCGGGGTTCACTTCAGTAAGACGAGCGGAAGAGAAATCAGGGCAGGCGGGTTTCTATTCTTAACTTCTACTTATCTCGATTTTTAGTCCAATTCGCAAAACATTCTCTATTTCCATACTTGATCAACCAGTCATTGCTACTCTGGGTTCATCATCATCATCATCATCATCATCATCATCATCATCAGGCACTTCCAATCGATATTCACAATTCTAATCAACTTTCCAAAAAAAAAAAAGGTATAGATACAAAGGAAACATGCGGCCAAAACAACACGACATGATATATACAATTCACCCCAGATGTGAATCTAGAATTGGCAATCCAGGCCTCCAACCAAACATATAAACAGGAATCCCTTGTCTCAAAAGCAGTGATCGAAAACGCCACCATGCTCCATGGTATCAAATGCTTTCGAAAACACATGGCGGCTCACTCCTTCCTACCCGCATAACACCTTTTCTCCCCACGGTTACTCCTCAAAAGTGCCGCCAACGAAGGGCCACCGCGATGACTCAAGCTTGCCCTTCAGGAACTCATAGACCGTGAACGTGACGGCCTGGCCCGGGGCGACTCTCATCACACGGGGCGTGATACCCTTGTAGAAAGCGGCGGCGCCCTCCTGCTTGAACATGTCCTTGGCGATGACCACGATCCGGGTCACGGCGGACTGGCCGGGCTCGGCGCGGGTCTTCTGCAGTCTCGTCTTGATGGTGTCGATGGGAGCGTTGGAGAAGGGTCCGACGGCACCGGAGATCAAGCCGATGCAGGTCGTCTGGTAGGACGGCAGCTGCGAGTTGGCGTACTCGGGCTGGCTTCGCTGCAGGAAGGCCTTCAGCTCCGTGTATGCGGTGAAGTTGGCGGCCTGGTTCGTTCCCTGGCGGAGGGCGGTCAACGAGACACCGCGGTACAAGGTGCTGAACCCTTCCTCCCGGATGACGGTGAACAGGGCGTGCGGGGCGCTGCGGTACTTGGGGGTGTCCAGAGGGTCCGACAGACTATGGTGTTGTGCTTGCAGACGGATCTTGATGACTTCCATCGGGTTGACCACCGCCACCGCTTCCGTCACACCAGCGCAGAGACCAGCTATTGAGGGAGAAAAAATGTCAGTCAGGACTTCTCTCGGGCCAGCCCACTTCAGTGAAGCGCAGGCCTGTCGACATACCGAGGAAAGTGGCCTTGCTGGTCACGGCTCCAGTCTCTTTGTCCGCGAGCCATTGCTTGTACGTTTCGTAGGATGTGAATCGGATGGCCATCTTCGGAATGATACCTCCCAGAACGGCTCCGAGACCCTTGTACAATCCCAATGCGGTTTCTCTCTTGACAATGTCGACACCAGTGGCAACGAACCCGCGTGGTTTAACCTGGGTCAGGCGTGTCAGCCGGAGCGCGGATAGTTTGCGCGGGAGCGCTACTTACACCAGGGGCTCTGGCCCGACGCGACAACTGCATGCGGACTTTGACGGTATCTGAATCCCTGTCAGGGGACCATTCTGACTGTTCTCGGTAGGGTCGAGTGTCTTACCTAGGGGATGGCACACGAGGGCCTCCATCATACCCGCACCACCACCAGCTGTCGCAAGTCAGTATTGTGCGGCAGCGAGTGCGCCGGGAGGGACCAGAGCTTCGTACCGATCAAATTTACAGCCGGGGAAGCCGGCTTCTTGCCATTTCCTCCTTTCGCAGACATGATGAAAGATTGTGTGATTCAGAAAGTAGAAATCGGTGCAATTGACGCTCAGGGCTACACCAGGTAGGGTGAGAGCAGTCGAAGCGAGGCGATTGAATGCGCTTTCGTTGGCAATGGCAAAGACAAGGCGAGGAACCCAAGGCGGATAAAAGAAGGGAAGCAAGGAAAAGAGGAAAAAAAGAAAGAAAGAGGATAATGAAAAGCCCTCGTTCTGGAGCGCAGGGGAATCTTCTTTTTTTTTAATAGGGTGCAGGATTGACGGATCGGTGGTTCACAAGCAGTGCCAAATAATTTGCTGGTACGGGGAGATACGGAAGTATAGCAACTACGTTCCCTCGGCTCGACCAAGTCAAGGTATTTAAAATCGGCGATTGAGAAGGAGGTCACTGGATCTGGGGTCTAGCGGGCCAGTCGCGCCAAATGACTGGTCTGTCCCGGATAATAAGAGTCACGATAATACTAATAATGGGGATATCGCAAAGGGGGAGGGGGGAGGGGGGAATGGGGACTCGGCAATGAGGATCTCTACTACGTACTTGCTGGGCGGACGGACAGGATGAGTTTAGCCCTGAGAAGCCGGGCGTGGAGAAGCTATGACGGGGAAGCGGAGGAAGCTTCGCTGGACGAGCGGAACTGCGGATGAGCTGCTGCCGCCGCTGCAACAGCCGAAAATTATTCGCAACGAGGAAGAAGGATGAATATGATGGATGGTATGAGAGGAAATAGGACTGAATGTCTTTGATCTATACTTCGACAGGGGAGGAGCATACGGCCTTCTTATACGCTGGTCCTCCTCATTTTCTACTACGACCATCATATCAAGGCATCAGCTACAGTGAGTGCACTGGTAGTATATCGGTACAATACATCATGCTCATGCTCATGTCTCCTCCTCCACCACCTCCTCTCCACGTTGTCGTCCTCGCTCTTCCGAGGCTTCGGGTCCAAGGACGGACGGTTTGGCCTGTCAGTCTTCCTAGTGACTGACTGACTTGGTTGTACCCGGCCAATCTTCCTCCGAGCGGTGCCACTGGGCAGGGAGAGCGGAACCACACACACACACAGTACTTTAGACAGTCAGAGATTCAGCCCAGCAAACTGCATCGGGCAAAGAACCAGAAACCACCTTCACATGCTGGACCCTTCTTGTCGTCATCTGCGTGTCGTGAACAACATCATCATCATCCTCCCGCATTCAGAGTTTAGAAGCTTGTGACAGTAATCCCCCTCTGGAAAACCTTAGTCAGAGTTTCATGGCGAACTCAACTTCATTGTATGTATGTATGTATGTATGTATGTACTGTAACAAGTGTAGCCCACCCTCCCCTCCCACTCAGACTCACAGTCGCAGACTCGCAGGTAAGGTAGTCACGGGTATTCCCGGGCCAAGAACCTGGAGATCGAAAATGCTGCCGAGGTCGTTTTTCCCCCTCAGGCCTTCTCCTTCCCCGGAGTTCTCTGGACCGGTCGCAGCGAGAGCTTCGGCTTAGGGGAGATCTCGTCCCCCCAAAAAAAGAGATCTTGTGACTTTCGTGAACCACCGGAGTTCTACCTTTGCTCCGATTTTCGCAGGGTGACGGTCACATAGACTAAACTAAAGCGTGGTGGATGTGATTTTTTTTTTTCTGTTGCAGGACTCCGGACGGAGTGCTTAACCCCCACGGTTCAGGTTTTATCCACGGTCTGCTGACCGTTTTTCCCCCCGGCGGGTTGGCTTGCTTGCGTTGTCTGCATTCCGGCAGATTCTTGTTAGAGTTGGAGAGAACTCGCTTTTGACGCGTACTCCGTACATTCACTGCAGGGTACGGTAGTAGATGAAGGAATGATACTGATGTTCGATCGGATCAGGTGACCTTCTAGGCGTTACGAGTAAAAGCAGCATGAGGCTCGGATCTGAGATCTTTCACATGCTGCTGGTCGCACTGCATCGGAGGTCTGTCTCACCTAGGTGGTTGTGAGGAGTATCTCTGGGGAAGAGATAGTCTCCGACGAGGGTCGCAAGTGCCTGTCTTATGCCTTGTGGAAGCTCTATAGTAGCTCTCTCGAGTGAGTGTTGTAGGAGCAGGATGATTAAGAGGGTCACGTGTTGCTACATAGACACGGAGGACGGACGGTAGATTGTTGGCCCGATAAGTTCCAGCTCAGAGTATACTGCTTCGACTTGGCTGATACTGACCTCGGATGCTGACTGATACTGTGAACGAGGACTGAGTGCTCCAGACACGATCGTCAATCTAAGACTCATCTGGCGCTACAACGCCAGAAGTATGTATATTAGAACAGCGCACATGCATGTCCACGCCCAACTCCAGGCAGAATGGGACCGCCCGGGAGATCGTTCAGCCTATCAGTTTATCAGGTCGGCCCTAGATTTTGACCCCGATCGACCACCGACACACAACTCGTCCATCATGCAGCGCGAAAATGGCACAATCCGAGTTTTTGCTCAGGAGCTATAAGGCGAGGGGAGGGAAACGCTTGGCAAGAACCACTGCACCTCTCTCTGAGAGACTTCCCCACGAAAAAGCTTAGTTGGATCAAAATCATGAGCGTGGCCTCGCCTGCCCAAACACCACCACCACCGCCACCACCACCATGGTACCGCCGGGGCCCCGGGGGCATGGGACAAGCCCTGCAAACGACGGCGCTCTTCATCCTGCACCAATGGCTCCTGATCGGGATCGGGGTCGTCTGCGTGCTGGCGTACTACTTCCCGAACGTGGCGAAGAACGGGGGCATCATCCGGTCCGAGTATAGCGTGCTGTACGGGGCGATGGCGCTCATCTTCCTGATCTCGGGGCTCAGCGTGCCGCGCGAGAAGCTGTTCCGGCACCTGCTCAACTGGCGGCTGCACGTGCTGGTGCAGGGGTTCTCGTTCGTGGTGATCCCGGCGCTGATGCTGGCGGTCGTGCACATCATCCTGGCGGGCGATCCGCAGCAGCGCATCGACCGCGCCGTGCTGGCCGGCTACGTCTTCCTGGCCTGCATCCCCACGACCATCGCCTCGAACGTGGTGATGACGCGCTCCGCCGGCGGCGACGACGCCGCCGCCCTGGTGGAGGTCATCATCGCCAACTTCCTGGGCCCCTTTGTCACGGCCGGCTGGACCATCGCCCTCCTGCCCGCCGACCCGGCCTTCGACCCCTGGCGCGGCGCCGCCGGCGGCGACCTCTCCGACATGTACCGCGACGTCTTCAAGCAGCTCGGCCTCGCCGTGCTGCTCCCGCTCGTCGTCGGCCAGCTCGTCCGCTGGACCTGGCCCGACCGCACCGCCTGGGTCCTGCTCACCTTCAAGCTGCCTAAGCTGAGCACCGCCTGTCTGCTGTTGCTGATCTGGTTCGCATTTGTCCCACCCCCTAATTTCAAGACCTGACTAACACACCCGAAAAGGTCAACATTCAGCTCCTGCTTCGCAACCGGCGCCCTCCAGACCCTCTCCGTGCAAACCATCATCTTCGTCACCCTGTTCAACATCGCCCTCTACATCTTCATGACAGCGGCCTGTTTCGTCCTCTCCCGGCCCCCCGCCTTTCTGGCGCGTGTGGTGATCCCCATCCCCGTGCCCGGCTTCCTTTCCCGGTTCACGGCAGCGGGGAGGAGGAACCCCGGGGAAGACGACCCAAAAACGAGGAGGGTGGAATTCCGGCCATTTCGGTCCATGGACCCCAAGGAAGCCATCGCCGTGTGTTTCTGTGCCCCCGCCAAGAGTAATGCGCTGGGCATTCCGTTGCTGTATGCCATGTGGGGATCGTTGGAGCTGTATCTGAAGGCGAAGACCTCCGTGCCGGTGCTGTTGTTTACCACGGAGCAGATCTGTGTCGCGCATTTCTTTGTGCATTGGTTTAAGAAGTGGAGGGTGCGGGTGGAGGGGACGACTCGAATTGGGGAGGGGGAGGGAGGGAGGGATGGGGATGCGGAGGTTGCGGGGAGGAGTGACGGTAATGAGCAGGAGGGAGTTGGTTCTGTTGAGGAGGGAGTAACAGGGAAAGGAGTGACCGTGGAGAATGGGGAATGGCGGGAGAAGGACGCTTCGACCCTTGTATAACCGGCCAAATTTCGTTAATAGATTCGTACAATAGAATAAGAATTTACAGGAATAAGGAAACAGAACGTGGTTGGGGACAAGTCGATCACGACCCTATACATTGAATAACCACAGACCATGGTTTCGTCATCAGATATAGCTCACTTTCACCCCCATCCCTATCGTCCCCCTGACTTTCTGCCATGCCGCGCCTGTGATCCTCCGAATGCGCTCCCGGATATCCTGTCGGCTCAGCGCGAACAAGATCCCCAGCATGAAGAGCATCGTCCGCGCGAAGGAGAGCGGGTTCCCCGCGATACTCTTCCGGATGTACTGCATCAGATTGCGGACCACATTCGTCAGGGCTTGTGACCGCTTGGCCCGCGTATCGGGCTTGTCTGTCTTTTTGATGCTTTTCGAGCCGGACGGCGAGAACGCAGTGCGGCCGGTGGCAGAAGCTCCAGTCTTCCCATTGACCTGCTTCTCGGTGCTCTTCCCTCGACCCTTGATACTGCCGTTCGGATACGTCTTCTCAATCCCGTAATCCACCTCGCTGCTGCTCCGGCCATGGCCCTTTGACTGCGACTGCGCGGCAGCAGCAGCAGCAGCGGCGGCGGCGGCGGCGGCATCCTCTTCCACCTGCCGTCGTTCAGCCTCACGCGCTTGTCTTTCGAGCTCCGCGTCTTTCTCCCGCTGCAGCGCCGCAGCGCGCAGCTCGCCTTGCTGCTTCTCCTCCTTCAACCCCTCTAATGTCTGCAAGAACACGTCTTTCCGTTCCTCGTCGAGGACTTCACTCAGGCTAATGAACTCCTGCGCGTAATCCCATTCCTCGTTGCGGGGGAGCACATGCAGCGTGAACAACTCGATGATCCGCACCCGTGCGTTCAAGTCCTTCGGGGTATCCGTCCCGCCATTGGCTCGCTGGAGTGACGTGGTGGACGAGGAGTGGTCGCGCAGATGCTGCTCGGTGATATCTAGGTTCGGCTGACCGGACGACGAAAGATAGGTTTCAAGTCGCTGTTGGTTGAGTTTCTGCGATGGCATATGGCTGAGAAGTAGGGTGGCGCTGATGGAATCGGGTGTGGTCAGTTGGCAAGATCGAGCTGTCAACGCTGAGGAATTCACTCACAGATTATATACAACTTCCGCGTCGACGGAACCCTCGAGACCCTGGTAGCCGGTCTGCACGACGGTCTCCCAGATCTGTCCCTCGCGAACTTGGGACGAAATAGCTTTCCATTCCTTTTGTCCGAATACTGCCTTGCCTTCTTCGGGCCCCAGGTCGACAATGGCGCTCAGCAGGGTGATGTAGAGATTCCATACTTTGATCCGCCACGTGGGTTGGGCGGCGGCGATGGGCGGTCCGCCGAGGGCTGAGGAGGAGTCGCCGTTGGTGAATTGCTCGTCATTGCCGCTGGGAGAGGTGATGGCGGGTTCCAACGCGGCGAGCGCTTCTTGGAGCCGTCGTGTGAGAAAAAGTTGAGATGCTTTTTTGTAGGTCTTGGAGCAGAGTTTGGACGGCGAACGTGGTGATGTTGTTGATGTTGTTGTGGAGGAGGAGAGGTGTTGCGACTGAGATGCCGATGGGTCGGCCATTGTAGCTACCGCCAGCGGGAATGCGATAGGCGACTTGAAAGTGGTAGAATGGGGGTGGGGAATGAGGAAATGAGAGATACAATGCTTCCACGGAGAAATTCCACAATTGTAAGTGTGGTTGACAGGCAGATTGTACTTGGGAGGAGGTTGGGGTTGGGGAGAGGAGGACGGAACGCTGTGACACTAAGTAAGGTAGAGTTGGTCGTAGGCCCGGTACTTCTTCTCATACGGACCGATCGTTTGCTGCTTGCTGCTTCCAGCTTCACCTCGGCTTGTTCGACAGTCCGGGGTTGTTGCTCTGTCACGGGACAGCTGCCTCAGGCTACCAGCCCGCGTTAACGGTTAAATTAACAGTTCTGTCTGGCGACGGCTTCATGCTTCCATGCTTCATGCATTCCTCCGCCTCCAAGCATCGACTGTGGGTCGCAATAATACCCATCAATCATCTTCATGTTTAACGGAGCGGACAAATTAGATCAGTGACCATCGCGTTTGAAACAACAATCACAACGAGATGATATCGTCAAATCAGGGGAATCTCTAATGACCATTCCAGACCATCCAGATCATCTTCGTTCCTTGAGTCCTTTCTTCCTACCCCTGTTTTCGCCTGATAAGCAAAACATTGGCCTCAGTTCCTGCCCACACTGAAGTCTGTGGGTGGCATATTTCAATCTCGCTCAATCTAGACCCCACTTAGTCTCATTCTCTGAAGGCAATCTACTATCATCATTACTCTTATTATTATTTATTGTCATCCCTCAACCGTCTACTACGCATAAATAGAAAGCATGGATATCACCGCTCATAACTTTGGGCTAACTCTCCCTATGCTCCTAGATGAGTTGTCAACCTGCTGTTTTGTAGCCCTGGACTTCGAGTTCTCAGGAATAGCAAAAGCTCTCGATGGAGGCACGAGCCGGAGGAGCACACTTCAGGAGCGGTACGAAGAGGTCAAGACATCTGCCGACCACTTCCAGATTTTGCAGGTCGGCTTGACCATCTGTCATGAAGACCCGATGGAAGGTTGGGAGTCCTCCATCGATTTGCTGCCCGAACAAAGGCGCTAACTGGAAGGCGAAGGTATCTACACCCTGCGGCCGTATAACCTGTATTTGAGCCCGATCATTGACGACAGACTCGGAATCGAAAGGCACTGGTCCTTTCAAAGCAGCGGTACGCTTGCCGCAAAGCCCGCTGTCTCCGGCTACTAATCTGCTCTTCCATTCTAGCTGTTTCGTTTCTCTTGACCCACAGGTTTAGCATGGACTCGCTCTTCAGAAATGGCGTGGGTTATTTATCTCGAGACGAAGAGATCAAGGCCGTTGCCAGGGTCACTGAAAGGTTCAAACGTCCGGAAGCGACGACCACAATAGGTGTTGATGAAACCGAGTCTGAATCAATTGCCTTTCTCCAAGAAGTGCGACGTCTTGTGGATGAGTGGCTCGCGCTTGGTACAGTATGTCCCCTCTCCTCTACTCTGTGATGCTCGTCTGATTTCCGGCAGGCCCGTGGCAACTACCTCAACATCCCACCAGCCAGTCGTCCCGGTGCAGTCGAAAAGCCTGGTCTCATGCCGGTGGAGCTTAACAGATTCCAAAAGAGACTCATATATCAACTTATAGAGGTGGAGTACCCGTTGCTGAAAGCTTTCGGACGGCCGGCCGGGTTCCTGCAAATCATAGACCGCGACGAGAAGCGGGAACAAGCCGTCCTTGCGCAGAAAATCGAGTCTACGCAGAAGAGAGCTTGGGAACAGACGGGGTTCAGATGGGTCGCCGAGGCTCTGGCTGGTGGTGATCTCACCAATCTCCCGCAGGACTACTTTAGCAACCGCTGGGCAGGCTTGCAAGGGCCAAGGCCCCAGCTGAATTCAGATCAAATCAAGCAACGCCTGCGAGCCACTCGACCAGTGCTCGTGGGTCACAATCTTTTCACCGACCTGATATACTTCTGCCGATGCTTCTTCGGGCCTCTGCCGGATCGTGTCGAGGAGTTTCAATCGATGACTCATGAGATGTTTCCTGTTCTGATGGATACAAAATATATGGCTACCCATGATTGCGGTTCCATCAACCCTACGTCTTCCTTGCAAGATATTCACAACAAGCTGGCTCCCGACCCTTACCCGAAGACCAGTAAGTAGCCTTCACCAGGTCCGCCATCTAGATGAGACTAACATACCTGCTTCTGCTAGAGCTTGCTTCTCGGCATACAAAATACGAAGCTCACGGCATCAACCATGAGGCGGGCTATGACAGTTTGCTCACCGCCGAAGTCTTCATCAAGCTCTCTGCACAGCTTCGGGACCGGGGCGCAGACGATGAACCTACACCGCCAGCCCAGGAGCTTATCTGGCAGGGTCAACCGATTACACAGATAAAGACTCCAGACAGGGGCGCAGACAAAACTGAGTTTGGGCAGGGTCAGAGGCTGAGCCTGCCTATCCAACAACAGAATCGAGACAGAAGCAAGAACACACAGGCGACAGGATTAACTCCAAAGTCTGGTCGGCCTGCGTCGGCTGAGTCGCACGAGCAGCTCGTTGAGCATACGATCAATAATTATATGAATCTCCACACGGGCGAGGCTGAGGAGGCTAGCAAGAGCGCGGCTCTCAGTGTCAGCGCTGGGTGTCCAGGAGCGTCTGGGATGGCGCTGAGACCCAATAACTCGATAGCAATCCAAGATAGAGCTAACCGTGGACAGCTGATCCCTCGACTAGACGCCAAATTCTGGAGCACCTACGGAAACAAGTTGCGTGTCTTTGGGACGCAAGAGAGGGTGTGCCACTTTGGTTGAAGCGGATCGAGACCACCAGAGATAGCAATCCCAAAGACTCCGGCATGGAAGTAATGTAGCGATGAGCTTGTGATTTACATTTACTACAAATTACAAAGCCCGAGTATCACAATTGCCCAGCGTAACTATACTGAGTAATGGCGGGGAATGTATGCAGCGTCTATCTAACAGTACACCTTGGTTCAAGAAGGTACCGCTAGCGAAAAATGGCCGCAAAGTACTCACTCTGAGCACCGGGAAAATGATCGACTGGTCGTGGAAAAACTAGAACAGTGACGATAAGGAAATGGTGCCGTGAGGAGAAAGAAAAGAAAAAAGAGAGAGAACGGATTTGGTGGGGACGGGTTATAAAGGACCTGGTCACGTGTAATGCTAGCCTTGGGACGGGACTAGAATTGTTCCGGCTGGAGTCTCGCCGACAGACAGACAGAGAGAGAGAGAGAGAGAGAGAGAAGCAGGTGACCGCCGCGCCGCCAACTTTTCTCGTCCAGTATCGGCGTCCGGGAGGGAGTAGTATATTGACAATCACACACCCCCCACCCCCCAAACATTTCACATAGCCCTTTGGAGAGATGTCTTCCGGGTCCAATGGTGCCAGGCGCATAGCGTCGCTTCTGCGTGAGTGAATCTTAATTTTCTGTCTTTCCACATTTTGCTTTGCAATCGGACGACGGACAGCTAAACTGTTTTCTATCTTTCCCCAACAACAGGGCCTTCCGCCTCCGACTCTAGAGTGTGCAGAAGCTGTCAAGAGACCATTGTCCGCCGCCAATATGCCTCTGCCGCGACGAAACAGGGCCCCCCCGAGACCACGACCGCGCCGCCCAGCTCGGCCTTCCCCGTCGTGAAGCCCACCCACACCATCAAAGCCGGCGTACTGCTGTCCCGGCAGCCCCAGATCACCCGCGACCTGACCGATTTCGAGAAGGCGTACTTCTTCTACCAGCGCCGCCTGAACGAGCGGCTGACGCTCCCCTTCACCAAGTACTTCTACTTCAAGCGCGGCACGCCCGCCGACGAGGACTGGAAGCGCAAGATCCGCGAGCGCCAGACCGCCGCCCGCGACATCGGCAAGTACAACGCCTACTCGAAGGACGCGTGGAACGACGAGCTGCTCGTGGGCGCCGTCGAGTCCGACCCGGCCCACCAGGTCGAGATGCTCGTCCAGGACGCCGAGGCCACCGCCAATGCCACCTCCCAGGACACCAGCAAGAAGGAGGAGATCCCCCGGCCGTTCCCCCGGTGGACGGAGGCGGACGAGAAGGGTGACGACAAGAGTCTGAACCGGGCCCTGCAGCGGACGCTGTATCTTCTCGTGCAGTCAAAGGAGGGATACTGGAAGTTGCCCAGCTCGGCGGTGGAGCCGGAGGAGACGATGAAGCAGGTATGTTTTTTCTCTCTTGAACATGGGTGATTGTGAAAACGCGGCGTCCTCTAACCTTTCGTTGCAGGCTGCCCAACGTACCCTCGCCCAGGCGGCGGGTGTCAACATGAACACCTGGTTCGTGGGCTACCACCCCGTCGGCCACTACGTCTACAACCTCCGCAAACCCTCCTCGGAGCTCCGCGGCGAGAAGACCTTCTTCATGAAGGCGCGCATCTTCACGGGCCAGGCCGACTTGACTGGCAATGCTGATAGCCTGACCGATTTCAAGTGGTTGGCCAAGGACGAGATTGCCAAGTACGTCCGGCCACAGTACTATGCCAGCATCAAGAACATGCTGGCCGAGCGGTAAACGAAAACCTCCTGAGGATGTTTTTGCTTCGTTTCCACTGTACTGTTAGGATAGAATTAGATTGTTGAGGGGGTCTGCGGGGTGTGTGTGGCAGTTAGAACCGGGAATATTTGCATATATCATTTTGTATGTGTCTGCGTGTGTGTGTCATGTATAACTAGCTTTCTTTACTACCAAAGTTCTTATTCCAGTTAACTGTTGGATATCATGTGCAAACAACCGTCTGCTGCCTTGACCTTTCCCTTGCAATTGCACCCCTGAACGCCATGCCACTCACGAGAGAGATATCCCCCCGATGATAAGGACAAATCATAACACCCAAACAACAAACCAAACCACAAAATAGAACCATTCACTTCAAATTAAACTTCTGCCCCTGCACAACCGGCTGCCCCTTAGCCACCACCCCCTTGGCCAAACTCTTCCCACACATCGGACAAGCTAGATCTACCCGTCAGTAACTTAACTAACTTGTGTTATTCCCATAAAAAAAACACAACACAACCCCTCTCGCGAAGCACACAACAGAAGAACAGGGGGACAAACAATTCTTCTGATAAGCGCACCGCTGGCAGTACTTCCGGCCCTGCTCGGTCTTGGTCTTGCACATCTCGCACGAGGACGAGTACGCCGCGTAGGGATTCTTAGCCTTGGAGCTGAGGAGTTTACTCTGGCGTTGTGGGTTAGTGACTACCAGTAGAAAGATTGGGGAGCAGCGACTAACCTTCCCGATCCCCGTGTTCCCTAACGTGGCTTTCGATTTGTCTGTGTGACTGCTGCTGGCGCTGCCGCTGGTCGCGGGGGAGCCGTAGTACATCTCGCTCTTGCGCTTTACGCCCGGGGTGGCTAGTTCGGTTTGTTTGAGTTTTTTTTGGCATTTGGCGCAGACCATTTTGGATTTTTTTTAAAGATTGGGGTGGATGGGGTGGGAGGGGTTTATTGGTTTGTTTGGGGTTGGAGGGTAGAGCTGAGGGGATTTCTATGAGGGATTAGGTGGATAGTTGAGGTGTTGGATGCTTGCTGGTGGATGGATGGAGAGATGGATGGAGAGATGTGGCGCGGGGCCGGATGGCTATGACGCCACTTGGTGGTGTGGCGCAGTTGCTGGGGGGGTGTGCTGCGTTTGATGTATTTGAGTAAATGATCATTCAGTTTATTTGGTTTCAGTTGGACTCTGGTAATTGTAGTTTCTAGGAAATGGATCGGACTATGATCTGCTGATGATTGATTTTGGTGTTCACTACTGAGGAAGGTTTGGTAAGAGTGGTTGCTGGTGGTATGGTTCTATATTTCTGCGGGCAACTGGCCGCGTACTAGAGGTCCAGAGGTTTGAAGTAGTGTTTAGATGCAGTAACCGTTGGCCATGTAGACCTCTCACTAAGTTCCTTACAAATGGAAAGCACAAGATAGAGTCACTCGTCAACTTTAGTAGTGGAATGGTGCTTGTACTCAGAACAATGCCCATCCAATTACACCAGGGTTAATATCCCACTGGCAAGTGACAAGTCATAGTTCGAAGAATATTCCAGGTCATCGTGCCTTAGCCTCCAAGCAGGCCAATAACCACCAATATCCCGAAAACACATGCAAATCCTCGGATTCGCCTGCAGTTTGCTTGGGCTGACACAGGAACGAGATCCACACCACGCTGGCCGGGTGGTGTGTAGCCTTTCGAGACCCGAGACGCAGCTCGGAGGGAACCTGAAGTCCATTTGAGTGAAATCATAACAATATGGATGGACTACAGCTAGACAAAGTGCAGTCATCTGCGAGGGTGGGTGGTGTGGCAACTGGCGAGGATTAAATACTGACTTCGCCCACTTCGGCTTCAGCTCTTCTTCACCCACCCCTAACCTCGAGCCCACCAATGTCCGACCAGCAGCTCACAGTCGTTAATGCTCAGCCAACTGGACTCTCAGCTGTTCTGGACTCTCAGCTTTCCAGGGGTCCACTCTTCAGAGGCCTGCATCATGGCAGGGCTGTCTGGTGGTTGTTTTTTTGTTTCCCAATGGCTGCAGGGTGACCCGCCACTCGTGAACTGGTCTGCATCGGTCACTGATGCGTTGCTAACCCAGACCGCAGACTGGATGCTTCCAGACGGCGAAAGCGAAGACCAAGACTGAGAGAAAGTTACTGACATAAACTGACAAGAATAGAAAGCACGCCTGCGCACAGGAAAAAGAGAAACATCGAACTATTGGCGGCGCATGGTGCACAGTCAAACCAACTCTATGGAACCTTTAGCTCCACGCTCCACGCTCCACGAGCGCCAATTCCAGCAGAGTGGTTCGGCCGCTTGCTGTCCAATCTTTCTGCCAGATCTTCATTCTGGCAAAGCCAACCAGCATGCTCTGTCCCCAGCCATGGCAATATAAAACAGTGGCCCCTGGTGGTGGGAATTGCCACGGCTGGGCGCTCTCATCCTCGGGCTTCTTGTCAGATTCCCGCCGGTTTTCGTCAGGACTTAATACATCACCAGTGGCTTCTACCATTGTTTCTCCCAGATCGACACGTATCAAACGTCACCTACACCTTCATCCTGCCTGAGGTCTACTAGACTGCACTGGAGGAGACAAACTTTGCCAAAAGTCTTATCCCTGACTCCGGGATTTTGCTTTTTTTGTCAGATCCTTCTTGGCCGCCCGGACCAGGCTTGGACTCCCTACTAGCTTCTCGACCACTGACGCCTTCTTCCCTCATTAGCTCTCGATCAGCGGAATTGGACGGCACGTTTAGGTCGAAGACGGCGTGGCCAACCGGGGGGTGGTGAGTCCCTTGCTTCAAGGAGGTTCACGAAAGGGGACCTCGACTACACAGCGGCACACCTTCACCGCGATTCTATCCTCCCAATTCTCTCGCAGATACTTCTTCTACTCTCTCGACGGAATTGATTTCCTTAGTCTGACGACCGTTCGATGCTTAAGGTTTGAACCTTAAAGTGGTGGTTGATCCAAGGTGCTTGTCATACGTTCGGGCGGGTCAAACGCGGGGTTCTGCTGCGATATAGATTATACGGATCACACGCTCCCCAGGAAACCGACACAATGCCTCCCAATGGCTCTTCGTTCACATCTTTGAATCTTCCATCAGCATTTACCCTCCCGCGATGCATGGAGTACTTCACCGTTACTGCGGGACCCAACACGGATCTTTGGCGCAAACCAGGTGTCCGTGACACCGCCACCGCTCCAATCGTCTTCACCTCACTCCGACGCCGGTTCGAGGTCGCCGAGGTGACCGTGACCGCGGACTGGGAGATGGAATGGGATCAAGGCGGGCTAGTGATCTTCGCCGGAGCGGCACCGCAGTCATCCGAGGACGGACCAATGCACCATGTGCCATTGTCACCACCGCTACCGGGGACGTCTCCCGCCGCCGCCGCCGCTCGACTCGGAGCCACGCCCCATGCTCATGTCAGCCCCGGCAAATGGGTCAAAGCCGGCATGGAGTTCTGCTCCGGGACGATGAATGTCTCCAGCGTTAGCGCGACGGTCGACGGCGCGGACTGGTGCGCCTCGCCGTTATCCTACCCGGAACACGGCCCTGCGATGGTGCACTCGCTGCGGATCAAGCTGGAGCGGGTCGGCCACGCCCTCTGGATCTGGTACCAGGTGCCCGCCGTCGCGGCGCCGTATGCGATGATGACGTCGGGTGCGCTGCCCAGTGGGATGTGGCGCAAGCTGCGGGAAGTGACCTGGTTCTTCTACGGGGTCGAGGACAAGTTCGTGCACGTGGGCGTGTACGCCAGTCGCCCGAACCGGCTGTCGCGCAGTGCGACGATGTGGGAGATGATGAATGGGGATGGGTCGGAGGGGACGGGGGCGGCGGATGGATTGGTGGTCGAGTTTGAGGATCTGGAGATTTCTTAGGAGTTGAAATTTGTGCTGGAGTTTTTTCGAATGCTCATGGCGATGGTTGCTGCTGCAGGATAGCATGATGGGCGTTTCCCGGGTTTTCATGAGTTTGGCGACCGCTGCTGCTGCTGCTTCTCTTTCTTTCTTGAGTGTGTCTCCTTGGTAATCTGGTTATGGCGAGAGCGGAACCGGCGTCCTTGACGGGGAGCTTTCAGCGGGAGCTACTTGTGCGTTTGGATGCATTGAGGGTTCAAGTTGCTATATAGGCTTTTAGGTACTGTCTAATCTACCGAATGTTCTCGTTTCTAGAGACCGAGAGGCATATCCGACCTCCTCGCAATGACACCTTATTCTTTGGCGTCATTGGCCAGCATCCTCCTGGAACACGTATCTCATTCTCGAGTCGATGCAATGCCACCAACTCCATGAGAACAGCCGATGCCATCCACAATTTTCTTAATTCGTGTTCGTGTTCAGGAACTGTCCAGCAACCATCGCAATCTGTGCAGTACAGTGCAGCTCCAGTACACTCTTCTGTTTCACCAACATGAAAATCGACGTTCGACGATCCGGCCCATCGAAACACACACCTACCTCTCTGGCAGAGATGCATGCATGCAACCCCGAACCGGTCAACAGACCACCGAGTCCAAGTAGTCCAAAGATCTTCCCGAGTTCTCTGCCTAGAGTTCGGGTATGGCCATGCTCAACTGCCTCTCTTTTCTGTTGCCTGTCTTATCTACGTAGGTATAGCGGAATCAAACCAACAATTGCGGCGTCGTCATGCGACAGTTGCCCGAATGGAGCAGCCCCTCCATAGCCAGCCCGGTGCCCGCCCGGCCGCCTAGGGCCAGGGCAGGGCAGGGCAGGGCAGGGCAGGGCAGGGCAGGGCACAAAAAACCCTTGACGCTTTCCGTGGGTTCCGCTCCCGACCCTCCCTTCCTCTCCTCTCCACCCGCCGGGTCTGGTTCTTGACTCTGGAGAGAATAGTGGAACGACTCAACGAGGATGGAGAAAGGGGGAAAAGGGTTTCTTTTTCTTTTTCAGTGTGCTGCATCGCCTTACAATCAGGGGAGGGAGAAAAGGGATACGAGAATTTGACGGGTTATAAAAAGAACAGATCCCCCCAATATATCGGCAATAAGGGGGAGGGGCATCATGGTGATGGATACGGAGTACGGTAGATGGACTCGACTCCGCAGGGTGGGATAGGGGGAAGATGAGAATGAGGGATACGAGAAAGGCGAGACGAGACGAGACAAGACAAGACTCCAGGGTTCAGGTTGTTGTGTGGAGTGAGGTCATTTTGAGTGCCAGTGGCTAGGAATGAAAGCTTTTTTTTTCCCACCGGTTCATGTGCTGCTCTTGGATGTACTGTACTGTACATAAATAATTTACTACAGTGTACTGGTAGTGTAGGTGTTAGTAAGTTATAGTTAGTTAAGTTACTGTAGTCAGCCTGCTCCCCAATGGTTGAGCAGGTAACCTAACCTAGTGCCAGCACAGCAAGCAACTGTGGGACCCCCTCTCTCGGAGGCTGCAGCAGCGCAGCAGCAGCAGCAGCAGCAGCGCAGGGAGATCCTGCGGCGGAGATCTTGGTGTGCATATCGACTCCGTAAAGTCCAGTAAGTTAACCTGCACCGATGGGGAATGCCCAGATCCGAGAGTGTATTTATTCAGTTACTCCGGCCTACCTATAAATTACAAACTGATTCGATGGATATTTACTCGAATGCTGGAGCTGGTTGTATGATGTTTTTTCTTCTTGTTTTGTTTTGTTTTTCCCTCTCTTCCTTGGGAGGGAGCGCCCGGTGGAGATCCCGAATCACAGGAAGGGAAGATTATTGATGGCGCCACTATTTTGGGGGGGGTCTGCCGACGCCACTAGTGGTTAGCTAGCACCCTGGTGGTCTTTCTGCTTGAGATTCTGAAGTCGTCTTCCTGTGGTCAGTTGCGACGGGTAGGATGTACTGTACTGTAGGGCAGCAATTGACAACTTGAGCGAGTGGTACAGATAGATAGTTGTACTGTACACAAAAGAGCACAACGCTTTTCAAGGTGCTGGGAAATCCACAAATATAGAAATTCTTATCTATCTACCTAGTACCGGGCAAAAGCCGCCCACACATCCAGCTGCATGCTTACCTCAGCCGTGCAACGGTCCAGAAGTGGATGCCTTTTACTGGCGGTGATTGGCGGGGCTGGCTCACCGCATTTTCTTTTCTGCTTTTAGTTCGAGTTCCCGATCTGCGTGCACCGCACTGCATCGCAGGTCTTGTTCTTCTTGCAGGCTTGCAGCTCCCTCTCTCCCCTCTCTCTATCCATGATGAGCTTGCCAATGGCCCGATTGGGGAACCCTGGCAAGAAGAGACGCCTTTTCTTCCGCCGCGGATTGGTTCGTGGAGGATGGTTGATGTCTGATAACCTTGGCGGAGTGGGTGGTTTTGCGTAGGATTAAACTCTTGGGCCTCTCTTATCCTCCCCTCCTCGCCTTTTTATGGTCAATTCTCCGGACTGTACGGAGTACATACATTGACGCTTAAACCATCAATCAAGTATAAGTTAATCGAGGAGAAACACAAGAGACAAGATGGTCCGAAGCCAAACGCGAATTCAAAATGACATACAACCAAATCATTATTACGGTGCCAACTCCCAGCTGCCCCGCCAACTACCTAGTGGTCACCACCACCAGTAAACCGAACTAGTTCTCCATCGGTCTTCCGTGCGGACCCATTTTTACACTATTCAATTTTTTTTTTCCCGCTCTCTCCCTCACGCTTGCTGCTCGCATTCGAGTCAAAAGAGTTCAACCACAACACTGAACATACCTTCTGGGATTGACTGACTGACTGACTGACTGACTGAGTGACAGCCAGCCAGCCAGACAGACAGACAGACAGAAGCTAGACTAGTCCCAAAGTCTGCCACTGATTAACTTATTCCCGACTTCCCCTCTTCCCCCCTCTGTCTTCCCTCTTTGTTTATTTTACTATCATCATCAATTCTATTATCTCCAACTCACCAAACCACTCACTACCTTCCCAATTGTACCACCTTCCCCCTCCCTCCTCCCTGAACTACTCCTCCATCTTCCCCTCTTCTTCTTCCTCTTCCACTCCCTCTTCCTCTTCATACCTCTCCTAAGACACACATTCACATACACACCCACCCACCTTCCTCCCTTACCTCTTCTCCCCCCTCCCCCCTCCCCCCTCCTCATTTACCTTCCGTGCGCGGGTGGCCATTTTTTTTCTGATCCGGTCCGAAACTTCTCCGCATCCCGCCGGACGCTTCGCCTTTTGTACATTATCGCTGTTTTTGAGTTGAACTCCTCCTTTCGCTTCCCCTTTTGCGCTGTTGGTGAATATCCGGCGTTCCTAACGACTGTAACGACATCCCCCAACCTCGACGACGATCCACAATGGCTCCCCCCGCTGGTGAGACTGTGACCATCTCGATCCGACGTCCTATCGACGACCCCATCTACCTGGCCGGCACCTTCTCCGACCCTCAATGGGAACCCGTCGAGCTCAGCTCCAAGCCCGTCGACACCGAACCCGATGAGGACGGACTTATCTCCACCGAATATCTCTTCTGGCACGATCTGACCCTGCCTCCCGGCCAACATCAGTACAGATTCCGTGAGGGGAAAAAGGGCCCCTGGTTTCACGATGAAGCTGTAAAGCATGGTAGGCATTTCCCTCCGACATCTATGCCTGGGCTTTGCGTTGTGGCGCAGGGTTTCTGAGTTTGTAGGCTTGGTTCTTTGGGAGAGAGAAACTAATTGACTATGCTATGTAGTACCGGGTGAGGGTGGCCTCGTCAACGTGCTTACTGTTGGGGAGAAGGAGTCCGCGGCCGATGCTGTTCAGCCCGTTGTCGAGAACGATGTCAGCGAGAAGACGGAAGAGACTGTGTCGGAGGACGCCACGCCCAAGGAGAACGGGGTCAATGGAGTCGCCGAGCACGACACACCTGCGCAGGAGTCTACGCCCGAAGAGCACAAGCCTGAGCCTGTCGCCGCTCAAAAAGAGACCGAGCTGGAGGAGCCTGTCACTAACGGCAGCACCGCGACCACTAAGGTCAATGGAACCGAGACTGTGGAGCAGCCCTCGGAAGAAAAGCCTCCGGTCACTGCGAACGCCCCCGAAACCGTGGAAGAGAAGCCCGCCGAAGCCGAGCCAACCTCTGAGAAGGAAGAAGCCGCCGCCACGCAGACCCAAGAAGCTCCAGTCATCACTGAAGTTGCCGAAGCCGCCACAGACGCCGACAAGGACCAAACCAAGGAAGAAGAGCCGGCCACTGCGGTTGAGAGCGCCCCGGAAACCGACAGCAAGGCAGCTGAAGAGCCCCAGACGGAGAAGGTCGCCGACGAGCCCGTGTCTAAGGTCGAAGAGCCTGCTACCGAGAGTGCGGCCGTAGAGACTGCCGCGGAGGAAACCCCTGCAGTGGAAGCCGTCTCGGAAGAGCCTGCTAAGACCGAGCCCGTTGCGACTGAGACTGCTGAGGAATCGACCGCTCAAGAGCCCGTCGAGGAGCAGCCCATCAAGGAGGTGGAGGCAACTGAGGCCGCAGTGGTCGAGTCTACGGAAGAGGCTGTTAAGGAGGAACCCGTGACACAAGAGCCATCCGAGTCTGCTGCTCCTGTCGAGTCCACGACTGAACCCAGCGCTACGGCCAAGGAGCTGCCCGAGGATAGCAAAACCCAACAACCTCTCGAAGTTGCTGCTCCTGCAGTTGCCGACGAATCTGTCGCTCACGAGGCTCCCGAGAAGTCCGACGAGGCCCCCGCTGTTGAGATTTCCGCTCAGGAGCCTGCCAAGGAGGAGCTTCCCACGGAAGAGCCTGTGAAGGAGGAACCCGTCAAGGAGGAGTCCGTTGCCGAGCCTAGCACCGAAAATGTTACGGAAGAGCCAGTTGTCACCGAGACGCTATCGGAGGCGGTTTCTGCTCAAGAATCGACTGAGACCCCTGCCACCGCAGGAGCCGAAGCCGAACAAGCCGCGGAGGAGCCTACTGAGACCCAGGTCGCAGAGGCTTCTGCCATCGAGCCTCTTCCTGAAGTGGCTTCTACCGGGGCGGGCGAGAAGGAAGAGCCTGTTGCCGAGCCAGTCACCGAGAAGTCTCCCGAGATTGCTGCCGAGGTTGCGCCAGTGGAAGCCGCCGCCGAAACCACGACCGTGGATGAGTCCAAGGCTGAAGAATCCGTGCTTGAGGAGAAGCTTGTAGAGGAGGCTGTCACTGAAGCCCCGGCTGAGGTAGCCGCTGCTGAAGCTTCTGAGCCCGCCAAGGAGCCTGTCGCTGACGAGCCTACTCCTGAGGTCTCTCACCCTGAACCTGTGGAGGAGCCGAAGGAGACCACGGTTGTTGATGACAAGGTGACGGAGGTGAACGCTGTTGGGGAGCCAATGGAGCCACCTGTGGAAGCCGCCAACGAACCCGCCCAGACCGAAGCCGCTGCCGAGGAACCTACTTTGGAAGGCGCAACCGCCGAAGCCACTACTCAGGAGGAGCCTGCTCACCAAGAAACCGTTGCGGAGGAGCCGGTTGTTGAGACTTCTGCTGAAGTCACTACCCCCGAAGCCTCTACTCCCGAGATCGTCCAAGAGCCTACTGAGAAGGAAATTGTCACTGAGGAGCCAGCCGTGGAGAACTCTGAGAAGGCTGTTGTGGAAAAGCCGGTTGTTGAGGAGCCTGCCGTTGAAGTCCCTGCTGAGGTGGAAAGCGTGAAGGAACCTGTTGTTGAGCCCACCCAAGAGCAGACCGTGGAGGAGCCTGTGGCTGAGAAGCCGGTTGCCGAAACTTCGGTGGAAGAGCCTGTCAAGGAGGAATCTGTTGTTGAAGCTCCTGCTACTGAAGCGCCCGCAGCTGAGGAGCTAGCTGCTGAGACCACTTCCGAAAAGGCGACAGAAGAGCCTGCTGTCGAGGAGGGAGTTGCTGACGCAGTTGTTGCTGAGGTTACTGAAGAGCCAGCTACCAAGGAGGAATCCGCCGTCGAGGAATCCGCCGTCGACCCCATTATCGAGAAGGCCTCCGAAGAGTCTGCCATTGAGCAACCAGTCGCCGAAACCACCCTTGAGAAGGAGATTGAGAAGGAGCTCACAACGGAGGAAGAGCCAGCTGCTGAAGAGCCTGCTGTTGAGGCCACTCCTGAGGTCACTCACGAAGAAGTTTCGGAGGAACCCATTGCCGAGACTCCTGCTATGGAAGAACCCATTGCTCAAGAACCTGTTGCTGAGCCCATCGTTGCTGAGGCTGCTGAGACTGTCAAAGAGCCTTCGGCTGATGCAGTGACTGCGGAAGAGCCTGTAGCAGAGGCCATCGTTGCCGAGACTGCCAAGGCCGTTGAAGAGCCTGCTCAGGAGACCCCCGTTACCGAGGAGTCAACTCACGAAGCCCCCACCGTGGAGGAAGTTGCAGAGCAGGAAAAGACTGTTGAGGAGCCCGTCGCTGAGGCCACTGAAGAGCCCGCCTCTTCCACTGAGCAGCCAGCTCCCGAGACTTCTGCTCCCGAGGAGCCTACCGATGAGGCGCCTGCTGTCCACACTACTGCCATCGAGACTGCCGAAGAGAAAGCTCAGGAGGAGCCTACCGTCGCTGTCGAAGAGCCCGTGGTGGAAGCCGCCGCTGCTGAGGAACCCGTTACCGAACAGCCTACCGTTGAAGAGCCCGCCCAAGCCGAACCAGCTGCCGCTGAGCCCGTGACTGAGGATGTTGTTGAAGCTACAGAGACCGTTCAGGAGCCTATTGCCGAAGAGCCCGTCACTGAAAAGGTCGCCGAAGTCGCGGAGCCCATCAAGGAGGAGCCTGTCGCCGAGGAATCTGCTCAACCCGAGCCAGCTGCTGCCGAGAAGGCCACTGAGGAGGTTGCTGAAGTTGCGGAGCCCGCCCAGGAGACATCAGCTGTGGAGGAGCAAGCGCCCGAGGTTCTTGTCACCGAGGAGCCCACCGCATCCGAGCCAGTGACTGAGGAGGTTGTCGTTGCTGAAGAGGTTGCTCCTGTTGCGGAGACGCCCGCTGAAGAGACTCAAGAAGAGCCCAAGGAGGCCCCTGTTGTCGAGGAGACTCCCGCCGTCGAGGAGAGCGTTGTTCCAGAGGTCGCCCTCAAGAAGTCTCACGAGGAGCCTAAGGAGGCACCTGTTGTTGAGGAGGTTCCTGCTGTGGAGGAGACCCCAGCTGTCGACGAGACTGCCGCCGTAGAGGAGGCCCCCGCCGTGGAGGAGGTTCCTGCTGTCGAGGAAGCCCCTGTTGTCGAAGCTGCTGCCGAAGAGACTCCTGCTGTTGAGGAGGTTCCCGCTATCGAGGAGACCCCCGCCGTCGA